GCTTAATGTAACACCCCTAAAATTTAAAACTTTCGAAGCTTATGAAATAAGGGTAGTATTATCATTAAATCCCAAAACAGAGCATACTAAACACAAGAGTTTGGGGTGCTATGCCACATCTGAGCTGGAGAACTCAGATGCACAGGCTATACTGACTAAATATCCTCAAAGCAATGTCAAGACATCAACATGGCACGCAGGCCGAAAGGAAAACTATCTATCTAAGCTTCAGTCTTCTAGCGCGCTCCGGAGTCTACTCATCTGTGCCTGAAAGCTAAATATATCTGCTCAGCGAATAATGCTGGTAACCCACTCCAACGCGTTGAAATACGATATATATATATATATATATATATATATATATATATATATATATATATATATATATATATATATATATATATATATATAGGAAAACCATTTTGAAGCCGGAAGATATATACTTAGGAGACTCTAGCTTTAAAAACCGAGAATAGACTCAACAAGTAGGGACAAGCACATTCGACAGTTATAATCACGCATATAAAGATACTAGCATGTATCCTAAGGTCACAAGATTATTTCACGTCATTCATATCATCATTCAATCATTATCTTAATCACTTAAACACACTTTGGTGGTGCCGCAAGACCCTTCACGCGCCCATTCACGAAGCGCCAGTGCATATAGCTCTGGCATGGCCCCGAAGCACCCTGCATGTACCGCAGCACAAGGGGTCGATCGCAACCGACCGATGAACCGCAGCTCATCATAATGTTTGATCGCAACCAAACAGTGGACCGCAGCCCAAAAATGTATTTCTGATCACAACCAGATTATGAACCGCAGCTCATGTAAAACGTTTGATCGCAACCAAACGGTGGACCGCAGCCCTATATAATATTTATATACCTGACCAATAGCAACCGGCCTGGTTAACAGTTGGTATGGTTCTCAACCCATCCAACTGCCCGTATAGCCAATTTGATCGCAACCAAATTGGGGTATCATGCACACATAACACATAGCAAGCACATGCAACCCACAGTAGCACATTGGGAAAGGGGAGAAAACGTATAAATAAACTTATGCGTGGTTATCCACATACTAGGAATATTCCTAAGGGGCTCATACATCTCTTTCCTAGGTCAACGGGATACTAATTCAACTAGCATGCAATACATAAGACTCTTTTATCCTACGAATGGTACCCGAAACATCAAACTAGACTCAGGCACGATAAACGAAGTCCGTTGGGACACCACGAGGGTCGGGGAAACATCAAACGGGGAAACCACCATCCCACATTGTGAATTTCCTGCGGGTGCGCCAGCGGCGAGACTGCTGGGCAGCGGGTGGCCAGCGGGCAGTCGCATGGTATGGGCTTACTAATTCTATTTCTTATAGGACTAAGGGTTTGGTTTAGGGATAAGGGTTCATGGTCTATGGTGGACCCTTCCTAATTAATTAAGGGAATTTAATTCTCTTTTAAGGGTAAGTAATTAAATAATTAGTTTGGGTTAGAGGCCGTAACACGAGGTGTTACACTCTCCCCCCCCCCTTACAAGAGGCTTCGTCCCCGAAGCCGGTGTGTGGATCCATTATTTCACCCCTGGACGTCACGTATTTTGGCCTCCTGATTAGGAAATATGGCTCCACGTGTCGTTTTGCTGGGGGTAGAGTGGAGCTTGGTGAGGTGGTGTTTGGAAAGTTTGGGTTTACCTTGGTTTCCTGCTCCTGAGCTAGATGCCCGCGTGAGCCCAACATGACCTCGATTGCTGCCACTCTCCGATCTAATGCGTGCGTTGCGTGGATTAGGGACGAGAACCCTTCATCCATGATTTGGTTTTGTCAGGTCAGTTGTGCGAGGATGCGCTCATTGACGGATCCTTCATTTTGGCCTTCCGGATTCCCTCTCTCTTGTGCGAATGCAGGTGGGTTAGGCTCGCTATCTTCCTCCTGTTCCTCTTGTTCTTCTAGTTCCCCACATTCTTGCATTGCCCGTCTTAGTTTCTTGTTGGAGATTTCCAACTGATCAACCAACTCTCGGCGTTGTTCTGTGGACTTTAGGCAAACCTCCTCGAGGGTGATGTATTGACCCCCTCCGATATGGTAGATGTCGTTGCGGCGGAGGTTCTGGGCATTGAAAATCATCCCGCATACGGGTTTGATTTCCGTGTGGCTTAGGTCTACTCCTTTCTTTTCCATGATCCAACTTAGGATAATCCCGTAGGGTAGACTAAGCCGATTGCTAGACTTGCAAAACTCCATGTGTTTTAGCATAAGGGCGGGTAGGTTGAACTTGACTTTGTTTTTCAGAAAGTAGGCAAAGGTGCACTCTAGGCTCCCCACGTCTTTGCTCTTGTTGTTCGTGGCCAACAAGCTGTCAGTTACAATCATGACTAGCAATTTCTGTTCGGCGGTTAGCAATTTCCTGTTTGGCCGGGTGGCCGAGGTGAAGCCTTCTTCCTTTCCTAGTAGGTACCCGAGGTAATCCTTGTACCCCGTGCCTTGGGTATCGATCCATGCCTTCCGGTCGTAGTCTGACACACCCGTGGTGGTTAGTTTCAAGAGTTTGGCCAAGCGGCCTTCGGAGAGTATTATTTCTTTTCTCCGGACCTTGGTGGTGATTTCCAACTTCTCACCCCGTTTGACGGCTACTAAGTGGTGATAGATTCTTTCACCAACTCAGGGTACGTATCTCCCTTGATTGTGAGATAGGTATCCAAAAGCCCTTGGAAGTTAAGCATATCGACCAATTCCGGAGAGAATTGATCGGGTTCGAGGGCTTTACCTCCGATCACTGTGTAGTCGGCGTCGTTCCACTCCGGGGTTCGGATCCCAACGGGCTTCTTCGGCATTGCGAGATTTCCTCAAGGTGGTGTTTTTCCCGGTGATGTTTTTCCGGCGAGGCTCCGGCGACCTCCGGTGAAGCTCCGTCGAATATTTTCCGGCGTCGAGGCGGCGATGTGGCTTGACTCGGGCGGTGTTCCGGTTTCGAAGGCGAAGGCGGCAGGCCTAGGCGGGGCTTGGAGGTGTCGTGCGGCGGTGTGCAGCAGTGGGGTGCAGCCGGGTGTGCGATGGGCGGTAGCAGTGTCGCGGGTGGCTTCCGGGGTGGCGACGACAGGTGCACGGTGGTGGTGTTGACCGAGTGGCTGTCGGCGGCTGGTTGGTGGCGACCGCTGGCGGGATGAGTTGCTGTGGTGTTCAGGTGGTGCCGGCAGTGTGGAGAGGGGAGAGAGAGAGGAAGAGAGGGAGAGGGAGTGTGAGGGAGGAGGAAGAAGAAGGGTTTTTGATTTTTGGATTTTGTGGGTTTTAGGAATTTAGAGGGGTTTAAGAAGGGAGTGTTCCCTTGAGGTTTTAAGAAACACTCATAGCCTAGTGGTTAAGATTTTGATCTTGTAAGTGAGAGGTTTAAGGTTTCATTCCCGTTGATAGCATTAGTTTTTCTTTGTTGTTCATCCTTTTGGATATTTTCCTTGTCCTTCTTTTGACCTAAAGTGGTAAGAGGTTTGACCGATCCTCCTTGTTGAACTTTCGCCTCCCTTGCGCGTGGATTTGCGGCTCGTGGGTTCACGGGGGATGCTTTAGTCCTTCTTTTTATGCTAAATTAATTGACTTTGTCTTTTTATTCATAATAATTTCTAAGTAGCTAAACTGAACAAGTGGTTTTACTACGAGGGTGGTTTACGGGGGTTCACTGATCACCCTAAGCAGAATTCTTCTCCCTGGTTTTCTTCTGATTGATTTGCGGGTTCCTCGTCTCTTCGGGCCACGTTTTCTTCGTTGAGGTTACCCTCGTCTTCAAGGTCGGCCTGAGTGCGGCTCATGACGAATACTTTTCCGGGAGTGTTGTAATTCCCTTGATTGTTTGCGCCCCTGTGTTGGCCCATGACTGTAGGGCGCGAGTTCGGGGGTTGAGTGCATTAAAAGAACTTGTGTCCTTCTTCCCCGCAGTTGAAGCATTGCCAGGGGTTTCCCATGCAGTCCTTGCCTCTATGGTTTTTGTTGCACCATCGGCAAAGAAAGGGCCTCGCATCAGTTTCGTTGTTCCTTAGGGGCGGCCCTTGGCCAGCTGGGTTGCTTGGCCTCGTGTTAGTGTCGTTTCTCGTCCTTTTTACAGGTGGTGCCCCACCTCCCGTATTTCTTTTATGAATCTGTTCCTGGACTCCTTGTTGTAGTAGTTGAATTCGATAGAGGTTGGCGGCACTGGTGTAAGCTTCGTTGAGGGTTCGGGGTCCGCTCACGATTAGGGCTTTTCGGGCTTCGAAATTGAGGCCTGACACAAACTTCTCTATCTTGGTCGTCTCTGTAGGGACCAATTCAGGTGCGAAACGGGCCAGTTCGAGGAACCGTTTGTGGTACTCCATGACAGTGGCCATCCCTTGTTTTAAGTGGAGGAATTCCTCGTACATGGTTGCCCTTACGTGTGCGGGATAGAACCGTTCTCGTAGTCGTGTCTTTAGGCCTTCCCAGTTGAATCCCGATTCCTGTCTGTAAGTGGGTCCCTCGTGGATCCACCAAAGGTCAGCCTCGCGTCCAAAGTAGAACGAGGCTATTTCTACGCGGCGCTCCTCTGGGCATTCCACTAACCCGAGGATTTTGTCGAAGGTTCGAATCCATTCTTCAAGGATTGTGGGGTCCTTTTCTCCTGAGAAGATGGGAGGCCGATGGTTTGAGATTTGTCAAGTGATATCCGAGTTCCTGTTTGGCGGTGGTGGTGATCGGTTGTTGTTACGGAGGGCTACGTCGCTTAGTGTCTGGGCGACTTGAGTCAGTTTTTGTAGAGTCTGAGCTAGAGGATCATGAGTGGTGGGCTCAGGGGTCCTTGATTGCCTTCTGTTTGGTGTCATGTCAATTAATTTACTCCGTTGCAAGCTCAATGTTTTGGCTGACCAACCTTGTGCTTGAGGGGGAGTATTAGAACTCTACTAGTAGTATTAGACTAGATCTCTATTATATTAGTAGTATTAGACCAGATCTCTATTTCATGTCTTTATGTACTTTGTATCCGCTGCTCTTGATCAATACACAGAAAATATATTCTCATCGAGACCACCACATAAAAAGCCCTACAATGTGCCAGTTTGATTTTTCCAGAGATTTACACACAACAGGAAAGAGAAATAGGAATGCCCAATATATTTGGTATCAAGTAGATTGCAACACAATGGATCTTGAATGGTTCCATGCAATAATAATCATCGCCTGAAAACCCAAAAAAAAAAGGAGAAAAAATTATTAACAATACATAACATAAAACATGATGCTTAAAGGAAATATTAAATTTGTTTTAGCATTATGTGTTTTTTTTTTTTTGAAAAGCATTATGTATTTTTAATTATACAATTCAACACAATATATAATAAAATTGACTACTTCAATAGTACAACATAATATATATAATCCAACATATATATATATATATATATATATATATATATATATATATATATTCTAAAACAATAATCATCACTAGAAAAATAGAATTGAAGCAAATATAATGTAAATAACTCAACAACACCATTTAGCTCTCTCTGATTAATTTCAGTTTACAGTGTTGTTAACTACATGTGACAAAGCTATCACGGTGTAGAATCAACTTACGTTATTCAAAGTGTTAGTTCCTAAACAAGAAATCCTTGCATGAATTCTAAGGAAATTAAACACCCATCTGTCTCCAAATACATAAGGGTAATTCTGTATAGGAAGAAAAACAAAATCAGAAATCATAACAGCACATTCTTTATTCTTCCATATCAACACATCAAGATTTGTTTTCCATTAAAGACATACGCACAGGTTGAGATCATAGGAACCATGCTAGAGGAGGTGTGAAGAAGCTCTAAGTTTTAGACTCACCACAAGTAGTTCTTTAGCTTCCTCATGCATCTTCCTAGCTAAGCTTGTTGCATATCTATAAACCACCAAGAAAATAACAAGAGAAAAAGGAAAAAAAAAATTCCTTTAACACCAACAGTCTCTTGTCCATAGTAATACAAAATCGAAGGAAGGAACAGAACAAGAAAAGGGTGAGATGTATTATTAACCTAAAATGCCGCATAAGTGCTACAACAACTGAAAAATGGCCTTAAGATTTCCCGACACCACAAAGTTCAATTCTTAATGAAAAACATGTTCATCCTTACCTCCGCAAAAAGATTAACAATAGATAAATAAATATATAAAGAAAGATGGAAGAACATATACCCGAGAACTGAGAGAAGTCAGCGACGCTAGCCGGAGTCGTCAAGTCGCGTAGGAGCCGCAAAGGAGAAAAATTAAGGATTTCAAATTTGTCACCACAGTCTAAGCCGATGGTATTCTTTACTTTGGTTCAGCAAGAAGACGGCTTCTTGGTCTGATATGTTACCGTCGAACTGGAGATCTTAAGGCTATGGCACCTAGTTTCCGGCTCAGATCTGAAGCAACCGGCGAAAGAGATGGAGTCATGGAGAAGAGAGAACATACCAGATCTGTCCACAATTTAATTTAATACTATGATATATAAATAAATAAATAATATATTATAAATAAAATTAACAAATAAATAAATAATAATATTTATACAAAAAAATAAAAATAATATTAAAGGAAGTGTACGAGAACGTGGAGAAGCTGCCGAAGTCGTGGCCTGATACCGCCGAGGTGCTCAATTGCCGTCACTCCACCGCCGGAGCTTCTGAGAGCTGCTTTGCCATCCTCTGCCACCGAAAGCTCAGAACAAAAATAGATCGGAGAAGCCGCCGCTGCTAGGAAGAAGCTAGAAGGGAGACGGAAGCTTAGAAAGAAAATAGAAGCTGAAGTTGCCACTACTGCTGTCGCCAGAAGCTCAGAAACCTAGAGATCTCGTCATTGCCATCCTCCGCCGCCGGATGCTCAAAAAGATGAAGGAAGACCTCGGTGAAGCTGTTGGAGTCAACCGCTGATAACAAGAAGAGGGAAGACGTCCTCGTCGCAGATCGGAAGCCGTAACGAAAGAAGAAGAAGGTTTCGTTTCATTGGAAGCTAGAAGAAACTAAGCTTAAAGAATAACATACAACAAACACTTAAAAAATAATTATTTTATTGTACTAAATAGACTACAAGTCTTTACTAGCAATCCAAGAAGCATATGTACCTTATTTAAAAAATAAATGAATATACGCGTCTTTACTAATATAGTAAAGACGCATATATTTTTACACAATTGCCACCGCGTCATTTCTTCCTTAGTTTACACCTCTTTAGTTACAAGTAAAGATTTCTATTGTCACATTTTTATGGTCAATTCTCTACTTGTGGAACCTTGAATCACACAGTCTCTTTGAAGAAATGTAGATATAACACACACAAGTTTTACTGTCATTACAACTCATTGTAACTTGACACTATTATGGCCTTGTGTCCGTATCCATTAATGAGCACTTACCAAGTAAAGCCCAAACTTGTTTGAAGCTAAGCGGCCACACTTCATGCTCACAGAGGCTAATCTTTTATATCATGCACTGCATCTTGCATTTTTTCAAAAGATCAGTTAAGAGTAAAAATTCATCCGATCCCTACTTCAATGCAAAACCAAACACCACTTTTTCTTGGGATACAATTTTTAATTTAAACTTTTGATACTTGCAATTACAAAATGAAGTATTCATCTACATTGAACTCAAGGTCTAACGTAATAACTTAGACGTAAGTTGAGCTTTCATTCACTTGCAATTAAATAATTAGGCTTTCTATATCCCTTTTGATGTCTTTTAGAATCATGTCCCTAGCTAAGGCTTTTGTAAACGGATCCGCTAAATTAAACTGGGACTGTACAAAGTCTAGTGCTACAACATCATTACTTAGGAGCTCCTGCACATAGCTATGTCTCATACCTATGTGTCTTGACTTGCCAATGTAAACATTGTTATCTACTTTGGCCAGTGTAGTAGTGCTGTCATAATATAATGTACCAAAACTGGTGACATCGGTTTTGGCCAAACCGGAATCTAAATAATTAAATTCCTTAATCAATCAGCTTCTTTGCATGCCAAATCCAATGTAATAAATTCAGATGCCATAGTTGAATCTGAAATGCAACTTTGCTTTTTAGAAACCTAGGAAAAACACATCCTTCAAGTAGAAATACTCATCCACTAGTTGAGGAATAATCTTCCTGATTAGATATCCAACTGGCATGCGATTTAATATTCTATCAATGAACTTGTGAAAATAAAATATTTGAATGGATTGTTTATACCGAAACCCACTTTACAGGTTTCTAGTCAACAAATATTTATTTTCATTTAATTAAATTCTATAACCAAGAATTTTCAATCACCATGTAGAAATGATCATTGAGTGATTCCTTAAAATCAAAAATTAAACCTCCTCCATTTGAAATACCATCCACTTTGGAGAATAATCATATACTGATAAACCTCCTCTATTCAGAAATATCCTTTTGGCTTTCAATATTTTAACGCGTTCTCAATATGAGAAATTTAGTGTAAAAAACATTCATAAAATTTATGAATTTCATTATGCATACCTCATTCATAAAACTTTCTGCATCCCTTCATCAAAAATATACCAGAATATTTCCAAGGCATTTCTGTCTTTATCAGAAATTTCACAGAATATTTCAAAGGCTTTCTGCCTTAATCAGAAATATAACAAAATATTCTAGACTTTCACAATGATAAAAATATCTGTGTGTTAACATAATCAATGCAGACATTATAAAATAAATCCACAATTCTATAACCAAGAAGAAAGCAACAGAAAAATTGATATCAATCACCAAATTAATTAAAATTTGGCAGATTTACAGCACCTCAAGATCGACAACATATTATATATGTATCTTGTATAATATGCATGCATGCAACCGAGACAAAGTCTCAATATAAAAATATTTATACACATGCATAACCATATCCTTGTATTTAGTAGGCTATACAAAACTCAAAAGAATCTCATGCATATCTTCTAGATATGATCCAGAACTTAGCCAGTAAGCAAAATAGAACTTACACTCATGCCGGGGCCAAGACAAATAAAAAAATATTGTACCGATCAGATCACATCTTGTAACTTGTATCTGCATTGATGATCTATCTCTTTCGGCCTTTGATACGTTGAAACCGCACACCCACTATAGACTATAGAGAAGTACATATCTTCTCATGCCAAATAAATCATTTCTAATAAAATGATTTATTTCTATAAAATCATTTTCACTACATCTCTCTAATCATCTTGAGATAACTTAATGTACCCATGATTTTGAGTGAAGATGGAAAGAAACTACACAACATGCATTTAAAAATCCATATGTACAATACATGTCACTACTCCATGCGAAAAATCCGCATGAAAATCTTCTTGTACATTAAACATAATAGACCCAAAAGTGATTTCTGTCATCCTCTCATTAACAAGTTTGGAATCTCATTCCGAAAATATTCCGTGATGAGAAATTATTCTTTCATGCCCGACATCTTCCCTTCAAAACTTTCAAGGAAAAATCAATTATCATAGTTTTATAATTTTAAAGCTTATAGATTGTTGGATAAAGTGCTTGTATTCTATAATATTTTGAGATACAACAAAAATTACAGAAGAAAATGAGGGAACAAAACTGGATCATTTGATATCTTTAAGCGTGTAATCACTTTCCTATAAGCTTTAAATCTCCCTCTTAAAAAGCAACAAGGTTCAAGATTTAATCTTATGAGATACAATGCAAGAAGATGAATGAAATTCTCAAGTTGGTTTGTTTGACAATTGCCTGTAGAATTGTAAAACTTGGAAATATCTTGATGTCCTGCAAGTTAATTGCCTCCCTCAATTGAGGTTACATAGAAGTTACTAGCAGTTTAAAACTCCAACTTCTAAAAAATATATATTACATGTATATACATAATTCAACGAGTCGACAATAATGTATATACTTCTTCCGATTTGTTGAAGACCAAACGATTTGTTAATTTTAGCCCAACGAATCATGCATATACATAGGTCATTCGCAATGGCGGATCCAGAAAATTATTTGAGTGGGGGCGAATATTAAATGACGTTAAAAATGTCAATGACAAAAATATCATTGACATAAACCTTTTATAACATAAAATTTAAAATCCAACCAACTAAACTATTTAAACTATTAATATTTTTTATTAGGACTATTAGAACTCTATTATCCATATTAGACTAGGACTATATTATTAGTGTTAGACTAGGATTCTATCTAGCATCTCTATATATTCGCTCCTTGTACTCTCAGACATCATCATTGAATACAACACAATTATATTCTCATCTGGTATCAGTTAGCCAGGGTTTTTCTTTTCCAACATCCATGTTCCTCACTTCGTAGCAGTAGCCGATGGCATCAAACCAAGATACACCGTATCAGAAGCGGTCCGGTCAACGACGTGGCGTTGATGATCCGTGTCAAATTTGTAAAGGTTTCGGCCACACGGGAGCCAATTGTGTTTGGCGTTATGATGATCCGTGTCAAATTTGTAAACAGTTTTGGTCACACGGGAGCCAATTGTTTTTGGCGCTATGATGATCCGTGTCAAATTTGTAACAGTTTTGGTCACACGGGAGCCAACTGTTTTCGGCGTTATTCAGGGGCTCCGGGTTTTCAGGCTAATGTGGTAGTCTCTGGTGATAATGGTGATTCCAACGGTCCTCATCAGTGGTTCCCTGACACTGGTGCTACAAATCATGCTACGCCTAATTCTTCTTTGATGACTTCTGCGACAAGTTATGATGGCCCGGATACTCTGCGAGTCGGCAATGGTACAGGTTTGCCTATTGTTAATGTTGGTTCTGCTTTGTTAGCCATTGATTCTATGTCTTTTAAGTTACATGATGTTTTGCATGTCCCCGGTCTCTCTTCTTCTCTATTATCTGTCCAGCGTTTTGCAAAGGACAATAATGTTTTCTTTGAGTTCCACCCTCTTTGTTTCTATGTGAAAGACATTTTGACCAAGAAGGTTCTTTTTAAGGGACATGCGTCTGGGGGTCTCTACACATGGCCTGCGTCTTCTGCTTCCCCTGCTACATTTGTTGCTGCACGGTCCTCTTACGTTTGGCACATGCGATTGGGGCATCCTCATTCTCGAGTCTTACGTAAAATTTTAGCATCTTCGTCTGTTGGTACATTTAATTCTAGTGATCTTCCCAATATCTGTTCCTCTTGTCAATTAGGAAAATCTTCTCGTTTTCCTTTGTCTCGTGTCGAAACTACTAGTATGCATCCTTTGGAATTAATTTATTTAGATATTTGGGGCCCTGCGCCATTACTTTCTGTGTCTGGCTTTAAATACTGGGAGCTACTTATCTGTGTGCTAATCCGGTGTTTCATGCTCGCACCAAGCACATTGAGATCACCTACCACTTTGTTCATGATAAAGTCGCAAAGAAGGAATTACAAGTCAATTTTATTTCTACCAAAGATCAGATAGCGGATATTTTTACCAAGTCTCTTTCGTCTGTACATTTTAATTTACTCCGTTGCAAGCTCAATGTTTTGGCTGACCAACCTTGTGCTTGAGGGGGAGTATTAGGACTATTAGGACTCTATTATCCATATTAGACTAGGACTATATTATTCGTGTTAGACTAGGATTCTATCTAGCATCTCTATATATTAGACTAGGATTATATTCTCATCTTTTTAACATAAATATAGATTTTATATAATATTTCATGCTATATATGTATACACACACACACACACACACACACACACACGCATATATATATATATATATATATATAAAGGGGTGGGTGGGGGGAGTAGGGGCAGCTGCCCCCACACAGGGTCCGCCCCTGGTCATTCGAGTTGTTGATTTGAGCCAACCGAATCCATGCATAGCAAAGTCTCGTAAATTACAAATCAAAGTCAATGATTCGGAAGATAGAATGGAAATAGTCTCCGAGACTCTCTCTGAGTCCACAATGCCGACGGCGACCGTCCAGTCGCCGGAGGATCAAGAAATGTCAAATTGCACCAGTAGGAGGCCGAAGAGAGGAAGGACTGACGCTAATAACTTCTCCCTGCCAACGCCAG